TGATCGACGCACAAAGTAAGCGGAAACTTTAACTTCTTATTCAATTCGAATCTTCCATCATCTCTCTTGAGAAGTTATTCGATGCGAAAGAAGTTGGGAATTCGGACTGGAAAATATTTGAGCCTGCATCTGAGTCAACTTTCCATCGGCGACTTTGCATCATTTGCTCCATTAATAAATCATAATTTATTGATTCCATTAAATTAGAGATTACAAAATTTGAACTCTAGTTGGCTCTGCTGTGTTGAAGCGTGTTAGTCTATTGTTAGAATAATAATGATCAACATCCAAATGGTTAATAGAACGTTGACATGATTCCATTCAACAAAAACTTGAAGTTTGACATTTGGGATACTAATCATGGATGAATGGGCCGTATTCGAGACTTGACCTAATTTTAAGAACAAAGTTAACTAAGACTCTTTTACCACCTTGAATTTACACTCAACTTCTATTTAATAACTGCTCCTCGAATATGGAAGCTTTCTAGCGTTTGCGATTTTTATTTTTCGAAAATTTCAGTTCATAAGACAACGGTATCGGTTTATTAGGTCTGCATTTTTCCTATTTTACATTTTTTGACATACATTCAATGATAATCAGGGAAATTGTGGATCCTCTTGGGCATTCTCTTCAACCGGCGCCTTAGAAGGAGCATTGGCCAGGAAGACGGGCAAATTGATCAGTCTTTCTGAACAGCAATTGGTTGATTGCACCCGAACGAAGCATGGAAATGATGGTTGCAATGGTGGCTACATGTACACAGCCTTCAAGTATTTGGAAAATAACACCATTGAATCTGAGGCCGATTATCCATACCAAGCCACTGTATGTAATGCTTATTCATCCAAAGTCAAATATTTTAGTTTAATAGTCATTAAAACTATTGTTAGAAATCAATATTCTCCTGTTTCTTTTTAATACTTCGTAGGTGTAATTGAAATTCCGTTATGTAAAAATTGTTTAATTTATTGAATTTCAACAATTTGCATAAAAGGATATCTTTATTGATTTTCTGCTGAAAAAATATCATGTAGGTCTTAATCTCTCCGTTACTATTTTATAAACATGAAAAGATGATTTTGTTAAAAAATAAGCTTCACTTATAACTAAACAAGCAAAGGAGTTGCATAACTTAACAGTATGTTTAAGACTGTCAATCATTTTTAAAAATAGTTTCTGAACCTTCATTCCTTTCATAGTTCACAATCAAATCACACTGTTAATTCATTCACTTGAGGCCTAAGGAAATATCAACACACTTTCTTATTAACATATTACTCAAATCATTTAAATAAGCATTTTTTGTCCTATTAGGATGGTCCATGTCGATACAACGAGAGCCTGGGTGTGGGTAGCATCCGAGATATTGGTAACGTGACGGAAGGGAATGAGACATCTCTAATGGAGGCAGTTGCTTTGATTGGACCTATTTCAGTAGCTATTGACGCCAGCGCCCTGGGTTTCATGTTTTATCGGTAAGTTGGTGCAATAAAGGCTAGAATCAAAGTTCACAAATCTCGCTTAATAAATTATGAGTAGTTATTTTTGCTTCACTTAAGACCTTAAATTTGATTGAAACAGTAGCTCAAGTATTAGACAATAAATGGTCGCCCTTAAAAATCCTATTCTGGGCAGTTACTGAATCAAACATGATCGGTACCATATAGTTTTGTGCTAGTTGATCCCATGGAATATGAAAAGCGAAAATAACCTCTTCTGCATACTTGAATTGAAAGTTTTGCCAACCTTTGTAACAGAAGCAAGGATATAAGAAAAAAAATCACCTTATAATGTTTGTGAAAATTCTCATAGTTATTCGCTTGATGAAACCATTTTACTGAATATAGCAATATTTTACACTCTTTGTAGTTGTTGGTTAAATGCTTTCGTAATAAGGCAAGCCCTTTTGGCGTTCCATTCTAATTCTATTTATTACCACACTTATTGAACCGATTGTTGCCTTCACGAATGTGATTAGAGCCAAGTCAAAATCACATGTGCAAAAGTAATGCTGTCAGTCACTGAGCGATATTCTGCGTAAGTTTCGTATCTTCACCTGCAGACCAGGATGCTTACAGTACCAAGCTGACAATGGGTCCGAAATAGTTGAAGTTCACATGAAAGCCACTTAACAATCAGTTCTAATGCATTGTAGTACTTAACTTTGGTAGTTAGAAAGGCATCCTTGGACATTTGCGATGAGGACTTGAGTTCTACCCACTCAGTCCTCCTCCCCAACCAGATTTAACCACTTCAGTAGATCAACTATTGAGCATTAACCTTGTGACCTCAGACGTGGTAAACGAGATTGTTGACAGCTGTGGCACTGACTCATATGAGGTCTGACGAAGGGTTGGTAACATCTTTTTGGTTGGTACAAGTTTTGGCCCTGCCATTTTGGGAACCTTTTACATGGTTTTGTGAGAGAGTGCACACTAACTGGCTGAAAGGAATGTAATAGCCGGAACATCCTCTGAATTCGGCAT